GAGTGGCGGGCAGCGAGTGGGGCATGGCATGGCGGCACATACGGGACGCGGATCTGGTTGTCATCGAGGAAGGTGCTGTAGTTGACCATGGTGTTGCCCAGGGTGCCATTTGCCGTTGATACGAGCGCGCTGTCGTAGTTCAGCAGCGGCAAACGATACCCCTTCTCCTGCACGCACGCACGCACGCACGCACGCACGCACGCAAGCAGTGATGGCAAGCAGTGATGGCAAGCAGTGATGGCAAGCAGTGATGCACGCAAGTGAACAGAACAGCAACCAGGTAGGTGGGTGGGTGGGATGGGATAGCCCATGTGAGATGAGACGATTCCTGAGGCGGCTCAGAAACAATGGCAAAGGATATGGCATTGCAGGGAAGCAACGAGGTGGGAACAACGGTTCACAGCCGGACAGACAGACGCGCAACATGACAGACAGAGCTGAAGAGGCAGCCGCAGAGGCACGTGGGACGTTCGCTAGGCAAGGTGGTAGAAGGTAGGGGGGGAAGGTAAGCGGATGGGAAATGAGCGAGCCGGGACGCATTGAGAAGCAACGGAGCAACGGAAGAAGGGAAGAAGGGAAGAAGGGAAGAACTCGGAGCAATGGAGCAATGGATCGCACAGAGCGCTTGTGCGGTCGAGTCTGAGTCCAACCAACTCAGGTCCTCGCAGCAAAGCAAGGCGAATGATGGCAAATGGCATGGCACGCAACGTGGTGCCTGCCCACGCAGAGAGAGTCAATGGCTCTTAAATGGGGCTCCCTCATCTCAGCTCCACGCAGCAAGGCGGATGTTCGAATGGCAGGCAGGCAGCACGAGCACTGCCACAGTTCCACCTGCCACCGTTCCCCTGCCACCTGCCACAGTTCCACCTGCCACCGTTCCCCTGCCACCTGCCACGTGCCACCGTTCCACAAACGACTGCCCGATACTACACATTTTGGTGTGGACAAGCAGTAGCACTGCTGCTGCAGCGTACGCTCGTGGTCGTGTGCGCTCACGCACCTGCGATACCGTGCCTGACGCTTCCGGGGGCTTCATGCCTTGCCCCATGCCCTGCGCCGCATGTCACGGATTGTGAGAGACGGGGAGAGGGGGAGGACGCACGCAATCGCAAAGACAGTAAGAGCCGGCAGCGAACTGGCAGAGGTAAAGTAGTTAAGATGTCCATGCAACGCCATGCAACGGCATGCAACGCCATGCAACGGCATGCAACGCCATGCAACGGCATGCAACGCCATGCAACGGCATGCAACGCCATGCAACGCCATGCAACGCCATGCAACGCCATGCAACGCCATGCAACGCCATGCAACGCCATGCAACGCCATGCAACGCCATGCGCATGCCTCATCATCATCATCATGAAGTGCAAGCTCGTGCACCACTGTCTCTCCATACGCCCCACGTGGGGCGGCATATCGTGATATCGTACAGCGTTGAGGGCGGCATATAGTAGTGTAGTAATATCGTGAAAGACAATCCGAACAGCCACTCCCTCACCCCGCCCTCTCCTCTCCCCCTCACTGCTCACCGCGAGGATCCGCCGGTGCAGCTCGACCCTGCTGAGAGCGGCATATAGTAGTGATATCGTGAAAGACAATCCGAACAGTGACTTCCTGAGCAGCCCCCAACCCTCCCGCCCACCCCCCGTTGCTCACGAGAATCCGGCGGTGCAGCTCGTCCCTGCTGGGGGCGTCTTCCGCGCGCTGCAGGGGGAAGAAGTGCGCGCCCGCTTCCGCTGATCGCCGCTTCCACTCCGCTATCGACTCCGCCGCGCCGCCATTGCTCCCCGTGTTGGCCACCCTTCTGCCTCCGCTTGCAGCTGATGATGGACCCTGCTGGCGCCCTCCGGATGCCCCGACCTGCCATGACTCGAAATAATTAATTGCTCACACCGTTTGTTTAAAGAGTGTGAGTCCGACTCACCCGTGCTCGGGTCTTCAAACGCTAGTGATGTGATCCAGTACCTCGGGTGACTGCGAGTCGAACTGCCCCCCATGAGAATCCGCGGCACCCCCGGCGGCGGGAATCTCGCTGCGGGAATGCGGCTGAGCGTCCGCAACGGCTAACTCGGGGCCGTGGCGCGCGTGGATCCGCAAGACGCTGAGGGAGAGGAGCAGGAGCGACACGAGGAGACGCGCGGAGGCGCCACGGTACGAGAAAGCCATGGCGGTAGTCCCAACGGGGGAGTGGGTTTGTGTTCCGCGAGCGTCACGGAAAGGTCCACCCACAGCCGCTGAGTGCATTACCATGAGAGAAAATGCTGGTAGGCGGGCTTGTGGAAGTACTAGAAGTACAGTATCAGCCGACTCGTGGATGGAGGCAGGCGGACGCCGCGCTTCGGCAGGGAAAGCTTTGGTGTGGCTGGCTGTGAAGGCAACTCCGGGTCGGGGCCACGTAGAATGTAGCACGACTTGACTCCCGATCGGACGATTGGCTGGGGGCTGCTCGGGCACATGCTGGTTCCGTGCAATGTGGGATTTCGATCGTTTTGTGGCTTCGAATCGACGTATGTATTGGTTGGTCGGTGATGAGGAGCGATCCGAGGACGTGAGCTCGATGGCGTGGCAGCCCGATATTAGGAGCGCTGTTTAGGATTCAATATGTGTAGCAGACTTCAAGTCGTGATGCCTGCCAAACCTGGTTTGGGGTTCGGGCCAGACCAGACCAGGCTCGGGCGGTAGGCTTCAAAGCGACCAAGCCAGCCGTCTTTGTAAAGCAGCGTTGGGTTTGATCATCCGAACGTCGACCTTCGAGAAGGGCAGAAGCGTGATCTATGTTTTTAGGTTAGGAAAGAGACTCGGTAACATGGCTCTGTTTGTAAGGAAGACCCACTATGACACGAGTTCGTGAAAATCCGCCATTGATTGGGCAGCCGTGACGTACCAAGTTCAAGAAAAAAACACCTACCCCTACCATGCTACAAACAATGGTCACTAAAAAATTATATCAGCTTCCATTTAAAGCCAGGGTCCCATGTTAGCTAAGTAGCCATCGACTGCAAAGCACTTGAAGTTAGGTAACCAAGTTAGTGCTGGCAAAGTTTTCTCTGGTTGGTTTGGAAACTCAGCTTGCGTCACTGCCCCAAAAGCAATTGCACAACACTTTTGGGTACTTTAGATGAGTTGGGGGCATTTTAGGTTTGGCTCCGAACCAAGTTTCCAAGCCTAGATGGTTCGGTTACCCCCAGCGATTTACGTTGGCTTCGCACCCCTCGCTTCACCCCACTTCGGACCTTACACCTCGCCAACCAATCAAAGCCGCACTTGTAGTACGTGAGACCCTGGCTTTAAAGCATGGTCTATCCAAGAAAGAGTGTCGTTCAAGTGGTGCACAGAACTATCCAGGTAATGGTGTAGCCAGTGAAGAGACAAAGACCAACAATAACGTCTATTTTAACTGCGAGCCGGTAGTTCCCTTCTTTGGCTCTGTCGGGGTTGGATTGCCTCACATGGTAGCCAAACAATCGGAATCTTTGCCAACACAAGGCACCAATCGGTTTTGGGAGAAACGAGGTGAGGTTAGATGTTTTATAAATGCAGAGAAAACCAGCAATGCAGCAGCCTAGTGGTACATACCAGCAGGCCCGGGACATTCTTCTTCTGCTTCTCCTCAGCCGCAACAGCCCTCCTCTCCGCTGCAGCCCCCGCAATGGCTTCGGGGTCGTTGCTGGGTGCGTGGGAGCGTGGGTGCGTGGGAGCGTGGGTGCGTGGGTACATAGGTGCATGCATGGGTGCGTGGGTGCATGCGTGGTGCCTTGCCTTGCATCGCCATATTTCCTTGTGCGGCTGATGCCGTGAGCATTCCCTTCATTGCATTCGCACGGAGTGAACACCGTGAATGCTTCACTTTACACGGCTGCTAACTAACAAGTTCAACAACACCTCACCACCAGCACGCAGCAAGCATCAAACCCTCGCACCCTCCCTCCACCGCATTCCACTTCTTTACTTGCCACAACAACTTCCTTTTCATCCCGTCTCAGCTGCATTCACCTCGCCCTCCCTCCATTTCCCTGACCCCCTTTCTTTCTCCCTACCATCATCGCTCAGTTTTCCCCTTGTGCTCTCCCCCATCCCCACCCCCACCCCCAACCCCCTATGCAGCTGCCGCGCTCATCAGTGATGACGCAGTTTGGCTATCTGGTCATAATCTCATACGTCTTCATCAGTCTCACCGCCGTGGAAACACTCATCGTCTACCTCATCGCCGAACGGGTCAGTCACCCATGCGCTCTCACTCACTCATCTGCCACCACCACCTGCTGCCATGCCATGCTCCTTGTGCACCTTGCCTCTCGGAACTATCTGCCCCTGTATGCATCTTGCCTTGCACGCAAGGAATCCATATTCACACACATACATCCACTCCTCGCTGTTTCCCTGCCTGCCTGCCTGCCTCCCCGTCCCCACTGTTGTGTCGTTTGACGACTGCAGACGCGTGCTCTCTCTTGGAATTCGTCACTGCACTCGCTTGATGTGTGCCGCTGTGGCCGCTTTGTACCACTGTGCACCGTTGTGTACAGCTAAAGGAGGACGTGGTGGAGAAGGTGGGAGATGTGGTGGAGACGGTGGAGGACATGGCATCAGAAGCCACACGTACCATGCGGACCTCCCTTGCTGATCCAGAGCCAGAGCCAGAGCCAGAGCCAGAGCCAGAGCCAGAGCCAGAGCCAGAGCAAGAGCCAGAGCCAGAGCCAGAGCCAGAGCCAGAGCCAGAGCCAGAGCCAGAGCCAGAGCCCCAAAGCCCACGGAAGGTGGCGAAAACGTGTGCGTTCGGCAAGGCTAGCGGCGCAGGGGAGGAGAGTGAGGAGCTTGTGACAGAGAAGGACGACGAGTAGGTGGGAGGCGGGAACGGTGTAGCCAGCACTAGAGGAAAAAAGTTGTCACTAAAGAAAGCTGTCACTAAGGGTCGTACCTGGGTGAGTGGGTCTGCGTGTGTGTGATGGGTGGGTTTATGCATCTGGGTAAGTGTTGTTTGATTGGTCTTTTGGCATGGTCACGCCACGTGCATTTGGTGCGCCCAGTTGTGTGTTGTGCATTTCACTCGTGCCTCATGTCGAGTATTTCTGTCAATCGTATTCTCCGTTCTTTTGGAACTTGGGTGCTGCTTTCTTGTGATCCCTTTTTTGTTACTGTACTTGTCTTGCTTCTATGCTGTACAGAAATTCAGCCTCTTTGGTTACCAGTTAAAGCCTGTCGACGACGACCATGCGAAGTCAGGCAATTATCTCCTCGCAGCTAGAATCGACTTTGTGTGCTGTGTTTCCTTCTTTGTTGGCTACACTCTCTCACTGTCATTCTTCTCTACACTCTCTAGAAGTGCATCCAGCTGTACTCTGAAATTTGCTAACAAGATCCCAGCTAGCACTTTTGCTACATAAGATGCGCAATAACCACTTTGAACCCTTCTCATCAAATACCGTATTACCCCGGATAGTAGCGCATATGCGTTTATAATAAAATCTGTTTTTTTATGGGGGGCGCTTGTAAATGGGTTACGGGTATAAGCGCATGCGCTTATAAGACGGGTAATTGAATTTAACTTTTTAAAGGAACCAAATCGAACCTCTCCTTAAGGTGAACACAGCCAAACGTTCGTTCCAGGGTCCTCGCTAGTGCCAGAACCCGCCTGACGCATCAGACGGGCCCTTCGGGCCCGTGTTTAGCATTAGACATTTTAGTTTATTGTTGTCTTTTGCAACAGATCTTATATTTTGTCCTATCTTCATAATCAGACATTTGAAACAAGCCTACGCTATGTTAAACAACTAGATTCTAGTCATGTCAGGTCCTGTCCTAGCCTACGAGTCTCTGAGCATCATATCTTAGCTACTCTACTCTATGTCAGAGTCACTGGTGAGGGTCAGGGTTGCACGGACATCCATGCCATCATCTTCACTATCGCTTTCTGGCACCTTGTCCCTCTTGCGTCGCTTCTTTACAGCAGGGTATGCCTTCTCGGCTGCCTCTGTCTCGGGTGCTTGGTCATCTTCTTCTGCCGCCAGCCCCTTGCGTTTACTGCCCTTAGCCACACCACTGGCTTCCTTTGCAGGGCGCCGCGGTGTCAGAATGCTGTATTTGTCTAGCCTGCAGTGGGGTACTCTATAGCGAGTACAGCCCAATTTAGGGTTTCCTATATGTACTCAACTGCTTCCTAGTGCAATCCCTCTTTCTGCTTCTAAACTTCTTGCTTACCTTTCGACATGCTATCAGAGCAGGTCGACCCTCCTGGGTCGATCCTGTGGGTGGGCCCCACCCGATGCTTCCGCTGCTCTACTGCTTGTAACGCGCCCCGGGCGCGTGCTGTTTCCTGCCTGCCGCGCGCTCCGGGCGCGCAGCGATTTTTTCTTCCCGCCGCGCGCTCGAGGCGCGCGGCGGTTTTCTGCCCCGTCGAACCGCACGTCGCCCCCTGCCGACCGTCGAGTCGCCCCCCGTCGCCCGTCGCGGCCCGCGCGACCTGCGCCAGGCCCGCGCGCGGCCCGTACGGGCTGCGCCAGGCCCGCGCGCGACCCGTACGGGCTGCGCCAGGCCCGCGCGCGGCCCGTACAGCCCGCGCGCGGCCCGTACGGGCTGCACCAGGCCCGCGCGCGGCCCGTACGAGCTGCGCCAGGCCCGTGCGCGCCCCCCCCCTCCCGTCACCCGCCGTGGCGCCCTCGGGGGGCCCGCACCCTGCTCCTTCGTGGCGCCCAGGAGACCCCTCGCCGCCTCCCTTTCCCTCCGTGAACCGTCCCTGCTGCTTCCCGCGCTCCTTCCTGCGTTAGGGTTTGGGGGTGGCGGGCATGGGGGTGACCGGTGTGGGTAACCTGCAGCTCCTCCTCCTCCTCCGTCTCCCACTGCTGCAGCTGCCGCTGAGGGGGGTGGGTGTGTGGGAGCCGAGGGCTTAGGGTTTAAGGGGGGTGTCGTGGGAGTGGAGCTAGGGGTGCAGCAGGGGGTGTGTGATAGGGGCGTGGGGCAGTTGGCGAAGGTTGAACGGAGGTCGCAGTCGTGTCGCCAGCAGCACCAGTAGTCCGGAGGCTACAATCTCCGGTAGTCGCCAGTCGTCTGTGGGTCAGTTGCTCCAGTCAGGAGGCTACAATCTCCGCGGAGCCAGTTACTCCTGTAGTCCGGGCCTTTGCTTCGGTAGCCACTGAGCCAGCAGCTCCTGTATGTCTGCAGCTTCAGCAGTC